CATTTTTTTCAAGGTTTTCCAAGATCTTCCTTGAGTTATCTCTCTTCACAATGTATTTAGTTTTGCAGCTTTAAGTAGCTCCTCCACTTGCTTTGTGTATTTCATTGTTGGAAAATAATGTCTATTAACACACGAGCATCTATTTTGAGAAAATAAACTCAAAACCTTCTTCCAGTTAGTAGTTTCTCAAATCTTTTATGATTTCTAGAACTATGAAAATCATTAAAATCAAATACAATTTAATGTTAGTATGTAGTGTAGCACTATTTAGCCCTACACATCTCTGTCTTAGAACCTGAACACACATTTAAGAACACACATTTGTATGAAAACATGGTGATCAGATGTGTGTGTGTGAGTCTTTGTGTGCACTGCAGGTTGTCGACCTTGATAACAATACCTTTCTATTTCACAAAGAGCATGACAGTGGAACTTGCATAACCTTGAACTCTACGTCCGTAGAGAAAGCTCAGCAATTTAACACATCTGTAAGCGACACAGCTTCATGTCACGCTGCCCTGCGGTTATTTCCGGGATTAATTAGCCACAGGGGGGTCTAATGTTGATGACATCAGCATCAGACTGGCAGATTAATTAATGTGATTTTCGCTCACAGATAAAATGTGTCTGTTTAACCAGGCAGGGGCAATCTGCTACTAATGTGCACTGAATATGTGTGTGTGTGTGTGTGTGTGTGTGTGTGTGTGTGTGTGTGTGTGGTTACATGTGTGTGTGAGTGACCACAGCATGCGTCAGAAACCAGCCTGGGTCAATGTTGATTAAATAAACAATTGTGTTTATAGAGCAGACCTTCTCTCAACGCGCATGCATAAAAACATACACACACAGATGCAGGACACCCTTCAACATGCTACACTGTTACACCATATTGTTTTAGTCGCTCGTGACAAAGACCCGAATAATGTGGCTCCTTAAGACTGGATGAATGTTAATGAAGCAGTTATTGAACATCATTGGACTGAGGTTGGACTGACTGTAGTGTGTATATACTGTGTATGCATGGTTACATCAAAGATGCTGGATATAACCGCTGTTGTCCTGGGCTTTCATTAATTAATTTAACTTCTATCACATACCAAGACTCTATTTGTCTTGTGTGATGAATAGATCAAATAGATAACAAGATGGTGACAGTGGCTGTTCATATGAGCACTGAAATATAAGAGTGTGTGTGTGTGTGTCCATGTGTTTACATCATCCTTCCTGTACAGCTCACAATGTCAAAATTTGCTTGCATTTACAGCTGGGTAGAGTTTGGAGTTCATCCAGACGCAAAGGAACCGAAACAAAGAGCAGAAAACACCATCCAGTATTGGTGTTACTATTATTGAAAAGTTTTGTCTAGAAGTGAAGCAATATAAGTTTTAATTAAACTTTCCAGTTCAGCACAACAGCTATGTTATAAACTGTTTCCTGGCTGACATCAGTGTTATTATATTTATTAAAGTGTTGATCAGATGTTCATTCAATTATCTCCTTGTCTCTGGGACTAAATGATGCTTTGTGGCTGTCTGTAGTCAATGAACCAAACACATTCTAAATATTACAGACAGTTTTATCAGAATTGTGTTTCTAGGAAAGAGCTTGGGTCCAGGTTTACTTTGTGTCATCTGCTGATGTTTGTTAACTCTACAAGAGGGGATTTTCCAGTCAGAGGTACCTAGTAGAGTTTGTGTGTAAACATGTATTGTTGTAATGAGGCAAATCGTATTACCTCAAAATCATAAAATGATTATTGTGTGATTTATCGTTTAGCAGAAATTAAGGCTGTGTTCAAAACCACATACTAATGTGCTATTCATCATAAGTATGACATCAAATTGAGTATGTATAGTGTTCCAACTACATAGTATGTGGGTTTTTTCCCAGATGTATATTAGATAATGGGGAATTTCTGAGTATGCAGGCGTGAGCTTACTGGACATACTCACCCGCCCACAAAATGCATTGAATCTCTTCTAACGGTTCTAGCAACACTCTGTTACAATTTCTGTATGCTATTCCATCATTAATTTCACTTCTGAGAATTTTTAAGGCAAAATATGAACTTTGTAGATTTCAAATACTGGCAGTTTAAATTTTATGGCAATTTTTATACTTACAAACTGACAAGAGTGTTGTTTCATATTGTAAAGATGTTGAGCTGACCCCCAACAGTCGAAGAGTCGATGCTTTGATGGCGGAGCCTGATTCGACGAGGATCATGCCATTTTGGCGATATGGGGGTGCTCAACGTCTGATTTTACATAGAACTACCAGTTTTCTCCCAATAAGTTAATATACAGCCTATTACAGTATACAATTCAACATTTAATGCTGTAAATAAACATGTAAAAAACTAAATAAAACTTTCAATAAATGTTTTTAAAAGTGCGTAAATAAATCTAAAATTGTAACCCTAACCCTGGATTGTCAGTGCGCATGTGTAGGCGTAGCGTGTGTGTGGTGGTGGGAGCAGGATGTGATACTACAGCATTTACTAGCGCATGTGTGTAGTAGTAATTGTAAACATGAAGTGGAATGTAAGTATGCTATCAGGTTTAGTGTGTACATTCAAGCCTCACTTTACTCCACACCCTGTGTCTCATTGACTTTCGTTGAGCTGGAAGTATCTTCTAGAAGCAAAAAGTTCAATATGTTAATGAACAAAAATGCAGAGGTCAAAGCTATCACTTTCTTCCAACAATGCCCCCCACAGACCCAGACTACAGTCCTGCTAAATGATACTTTCCCCGTCTTGTTTCACAACACCCCTCTGTCTTTGTCTGTTTATTGATTGGAAAAAAACTTTAGCCAGCAAAACCTCAAGTTTTTGACTATAGCGATCGAGTCAGGAGAAAGAAGTTGATGGAAAAAAGACATTAGCTTACTTCATCTGCTTTCATGTTTGAAGACCACTGTCTGTGAATCATTATCTGTCCTTTGGAAATGTTCCCTGTATGTGTACCGGCCCATTCTGACAAGGCAAATCAAATCTCTGGTCATCGTACCATTACAAAAGAGTGGTCTGATGGCTGAGGAAATCACGGCGTCCTCAGCCAGGACAACTTAGGATATTACTTCTTGGAGAGCGAACAAAAACACAGAAGGGGGCAAAAGGACACAGAGCGAGAGAAAGGGCTCTGGCTTCCAGATAATGGGTGCAAACACAAGCTTGGAGTAGTTTTTGTGACCAAAGAAACAAATGCAAACCAGGTGTACCAGAGCACAATCTGGAAATAAATACACTGTACTTGGGATAGGCTTCAATAATGGCCAATCACATCAGCCTCTCTAGTCCCCTTTTAAAACAGAAAACTATTTTAAAATGAATGAAGGTCAACTTCACATGTCATTGAGGTGCCGAGGCGCAAATACTGTACCTATAGAAATATCAACACCCTGATTACACCACCTGAAATTGCAGAAAGCCATAGAGGGCATGTGTGTAAAAGGTTGAAGTTTTTGTTTTATTTATCGTGAACACTTACAGTAGGGCTGCAAGTAACACTTATTTTCATTCTCTGCATCAAAATGAATCCTTGAAATATTTTCTTGAAAATTGATAATTATCAAAACAGTAGGCTATTCATTTTCTGCCGATTGACAAATTGATTAATTGACTTGTTGTTGAAGCTTTATATTCACGGAGTAATCATTTTATGATCTTAATATATAATAGGCAATACGTAATACGATTTGCCTTATTACAGCAATAGTTACGTTGTAAAATTACCACAGCAATGATTTTCCATGTGACCCAACTATCTCCTTGTGGTTTTTAGATTTAGATCCATATGGTTGATTTATGTCTAATGTGGCCTCTACAGGCTACTGTAAACTAACTGTTGATGACCGCAGGGTCACTCTCAGCCCCCACAGGGACTATGTTGGAGCTCCATTAGACTATAATAATTCCTCACTGCAGATGTCAAATAAGCAGCAGATTCCAAATGATTACCCAGTGCAGTCTGACATGTCTTTACACAGTGATCACAAGACAGCAAGACTGTTGAGATTACAAAATATATGTGTTCCAGTTTTAGATGAAAACATCACCTATAATAATAATAATAATAATAATAATAATAATAATAATAAACACCTAATGTACATATTTACTCCTGTCATGTAACCAGAATTCAAGCTTTCTGGATCACTCAACTCGCACTGGGTCCATTTGGAGCCACAAAAATACCAGTGTTATAAGCCCCTTCTTTTGCGCATTCCTGGGGGAAAAAAACCCAGACAGTGCGCGCGCGAGAGAGATGGATAGAAGGGGCAAACAGACATATATCTTATATAAAGATGCGATATTTATCATAATCCAAGCTTTTCAAAATTCAATTTCAAGTGCCTCTCAGTTACCGTTAGCAAACACCTAACACAATATCTATGGATTAATTTTCTTCCACTATTTTCTTTCTCCTCTCATCATCGTGCAGCAGTTAGAAAATAAGCAGCTAATGAATAAAGACCGTTATGAACTTAGATTGCTGTAAATGCCAATTACCCTACAATGTGGCAGACCAGCTGATTGATGAAAGAGGAAAGTTAATGATAGTCTTAGTGATAACACGGCCACGTTATCACCCAACCAAAAGCATCCAGCGCTTCAGCTGCGATCTGCGGAGACAAGCTCTCACTGGAGTTATCTCTGAAGCTCTCTTTCTTTCTCTCTCACACTATATTTGAATACAGAAGTCATAAAACAGAGAAGGGATGCTTTGTGGATGGGCAGAGGACACAGGTTGATTTGAGTAACAAAATGTGATGCAGTAATGTAGCCTATTACGATGTTGCACATCAAATAGCTCCGAAACACCCCAAGAAGTTAAGGCTCCTCCAGAATAAAACCGTGTTTAGAGCACGGGGGGGGGAATCAACTCCTCATAGGTCAGAAAGTTGTATGTGCCAACCGACACTCATCTAAAGCTCTGAGAGGAAGTAAGTAGCCTAAGCAGATGAAAAGAGTTTACTTTAACAAAACGCGTTTTTACCTAAGCGTCCTGACCTCCTCTTGCGCCCCTGGCACCACCACACCGCCCACTGCTCATCTCCCGGCCCGGCCCATCACCGCAGGTATAGTCCAAAGAGCACAGCCAGCACTCCAAAGATAGAGAAACAAACAAATAAAAACAAACAAAAAACAAGGGCGCCGAGGTTGAGGAAATAAAGACACAAGGAAAAAAGCATGAAAGACTGGACTTGTGACTTCTCAAGTTTGCCCTTGTCCAGTTAGCCTATAATTCTGTCCAGTGTCACTTTGGATTTTTGTTTCGTTTTTTTTCTCTGCAGATTTCCATAAATCACTTTTCCAAATTAAATCTCGCTCCTGTTGCAGTGCACTCAAGAGCGTCGGACTGAAAGAGGCTGAATTGTCGCCGTTTGTGCTCTGCGCGGCAGATTTCTGTCAAATCAGGCAAAATATAGAGGGTGACTTCCGGCATAAACTTTCAAAATACAACTAAATGGAATGACTGTGTGGCAATGGCTGTAGATGAAGCATGTGTGCGTGAGTCATTAAATGTCTCAATTTAGACCTATAGACTTACCCTGCAATGTAAAGAAAACCAATGTTAAATTTTTCAACATTTTATACAATTAAAAATAAAATTGTATCAGACAGTTGCATTGGACATTAGGCAAAGAATATAGAGTAGAGGCTATTTTTTGTGATTTGAATTAATGTCACTTTATTATTTTATTATAATTTATCACTTTACTTTAGACTTTTTGCTATAGCAAAAGAGGGTCCTATCAAGTATGTAATGTGAATTGTTGTTTGAAAAAGTAGCAGAAGAAATTCTGTAAAAATGCTGCTGTGTGAATAAGCTAATAAATCAGAGAAAAGTAAAATGCCTTAATCTATATGGTAACAATATGTCATTGTTATACAATATGTGAAATTTAACTGAAACAGCCTAAAGGTAGTGCAATAATGCTACAGATCTGTAGAGAATCATGTAGGGGAGACCATGGTTGTAACATGGGTCAGTTGTAACACATCCAATTTCTCCTATCAGGAACAAGTCATTAATCACCTGATTCACTCTGCACATGCTCTGTTCGGTCCTTATTCCAAATGCAAAAAAGTGGCACACTGTGGTAGGCACAGACAATATTAAAAGGAAAATAAAATTGAGGTCTGAAAAGTGAAGCCAATGCGGAAGTGCCTTATCCTGCATTCTTTTTAATGGCCAGCAGGGGGACTCCACTGGTTGATAAAAGAAGTCAGATTGCATTAAACTTAAAGGCAAAATGACTCCACTTCTCACTTAATTTATTACCTCAGTAAACACTTTCCTAATGAGGTCTCAAATGTTAGTTTCATGTCTCCTTTAACACAGCATGATGTTCATTTTGTAAATTCTGTCCCCAAAGACCATAAAGTAGAGTACGCTTTATGCCAGACAAAAATGGGGGGGAAGTTTACAAGGATGGATCCCCTATTCACTGTTTTGGCTTCATGCTTTATTCAGCTAAGAAAAATCTATTTGTTGGTGTTTTTCTGACTGGAAACACAGAGATCGTGTGTGTGAGGAAAGCACAGAGCACTGTTGTTACATGTTAGCATTGGTTTGGAGCTCATCTGTCACTGGGAGCGGGACTGTGACCCTAGGCTAGTGCAGCAACTGAATGGAGAGAAGCGGAAGGAGCTCAAGCGGGTTGTCACTAAGTTTTTAAGTGAAAGAAGGCTGCCTTTACATGGCGACGATGAAGTTAATGTCGTGTAAAAATTCAAGACTTAGAAAGCTTGAACTTTTACCAACATTTTTATTATCAACAAAAACAGACACCAATTAGAATACAAAAGTTCCACCGGAGTGTGTCAGAGATCGGTGCAAAATAGAGCCCCATTCTGTTCCAGAACAGAGACCCGAGTCGACATGTGATCCTAACTTTACACTATAAAATAACACTTTAAATGATGACAATGTAGACCACCATTGCTCTAGTAATTAATGATAACAATTTAGGCTATAATGCTCCAAAATAATTCACATCAAAGTGGCCTATTTACTGTATGTGTTTTATGGAAGAATCTGATTCATAGAACTGGATTAGAGGTCAGGCAGTATGTGCTTGCATGATGTGATTCACAGTAAGTAGGGACATGTATTGATATTGTGGTCCAGAAAAGCATTGTTGCAATCATGTGGTGAGAGTCCTATATGATGGAGGATGTGATCAGTGTAAATCTTGTAGAACCTAACTGATATGGGTTTTTGGGGGGCAATGCCAATATTAAAGTGAAACAGAGCCGATTTATAAACTGATATTTTGATTTTGAAAATGATTTGGATAGTAGACCCGTTTCCTGTATAAACTACTAACTACTACTTAGAACAGGCCAATATTGAAAGCTGTTCTGTGGGCTATAAAACCTTTCTCCTCTTAAATGGATTATGTTAAAAATGCCTAAGATTACAGTCTCAACAACTGAACATGTAAACAACTGCACACCAATAAGAGAATAAGCAGAGAGAGGATGAGCATATGAATTTGACCTTACACATAATCTGCCATAATAACTACTTTCTATGTAGCATATTCACATCTAGTTTATCCCTTAACATGCACTCTTAGATTCTATCCAAAGCTACGAGAAACCATTTCTCAGCCACTACATGACTGTCTACAACTCTGATATTTTACACATTGCACATTTGAAAGACGAGTTAGATAACTTTGTTTGGCTGGAAGCTGTGTTAGGTTCAGCTGACGTTTATTTACATGTCCCGTCTGGTTTAAACTGTAACCACAAGCAGTTTGCAGATATATTTAGAAAAAGTTAAATGCTATAATTTAACCGCTCATTGACGTTAGCTCTCATCCACTAATAAACATTGTTTGTCAACAGCGTAGCCTCCAAGGGATGAGTGCTATTTTTATTATTTATCATGTAAGTAATGTATTTCACCTGACAAATGATCGACTCATGGTAAACTCCGTTGTTGGTTCTGATTGCTCGACTCAATTCTGGTCAGCCTTGTTGCTTTGTTTTGTGGTGGATTTGTGGTGCTGTTATCAACAGGGGAGTTGCAGAGACGTGTGTGGGTCGGCGGGTGAGGGTCCTAAAAACTTTGCGCCCAGGGGCCTGTGACTTCTTAATCCGGGCCTGCTCCTATCCACTGCACTGTGTAAATTTGACCAGCGTTGTTACTTATTAGGTGTCAGCTGTTCATTTTTCTGGTAAGCGTTATTGCTATCATTGTTAGCACATATAGCCTATTAATAAATGACGAAAACACAAACAAGATATATATTATATATAACAATCCTAATGATTGAGCACAAACCAGGAACAGAGCCCACAGATACTGAACAGATTAGTCTAAAGCACCGGAATGTAAAAACCCTGCAACACCACCCTTGAAGTTGACTGAGCTGGTGCTCTCTGTTGACTCTTCTAGAGACAAGACAGAAGTTCATTTGTTCCAAGGCTGCATCAATTCAATCTAAAGGAGTCAGGTTTCCCTTCTTTTCAGTAGACTTCATATCTTGAATCTAAAGCCAGAGAATGTGAAGGTAGAAAAACGGTTGCTCATTGGTAAGGTTGGTGTTTAGTTAAGGAAGTTCTAGTCTCAACCACCTGCATTTTTCTTGGTTCCTTAACAGCCCTGGAGAAATCAAACATACTTTTATCTGTTATGATTTATCAGTGTGTTTTTGTACAGTCGCACTATCGTGCCTTTATTTTGAAATGGAATTCTTTGAACTTCCGGTAGCATTATCGCTAAGTGTGGCTGGTTTTATCCAAGTCGATTCCCAATGCCCGGTGTCCGGTCAGTGCTCCTAATTGGATGTTTGTCATTAATATTTTTCCTTTCTGACTCATGGACGGCGATGGACTCCTCACAGTCCAAAGGAATTGTATAAGACTTGATTATAGTGTGTTATAGTGGCTTTTATTTAGGATATTTTGTGGCATTTTAAAAAATAAATAGCTTGCTGTATGATTAAAAAAGGACACTATAGTGTCTGTAGACCACAGGAAAAAGATGCAGAAGTAGGAGGTGGCAGAATAACATGAATAATATGAAGAATGAGGAAACCAGTAGGAAACCACCTGCTGATTGAATCAGTAACACGAACAACATGACTGATGCTAAAACAGCTTAGAATATTTGATGAGTGCCCTAATTTTGGGTGAAGATTCAACTTGGAATTAATGCAGCCTTGGTTTTTACTTGTTAGTTGAAGGGCTGTCTGCTGTATGGAAGTCCAAGACTGCCTATATTTGTGCTTGACGTACAATTAAATAAAAATTTTAAATAATTAATGTTTTCTTATTAGTACAACATTTAAATCGAAACTCTATGAACAAGTTATTATCAGTTTACTACAAGTATAAACCTGCCATAATTATAAAAAATGTGTACAGTGTACCTACTACCTAAACTTGAAAAAAATAAAAGCAAACTAGGAGTTTTAATTAAATTAATGGATTAAATTAAATGGCATTTCATTTGAATAAAGGTGTGAAGGTGTTTTTTTGTTTTACCTTTATTTAACATAAAGGATACATAAGGATCTGTTCTCTTACAAAGTATGGCCCTGGAGATTGTGCTTGTCAAGCACAAGTGTAATAACATTTATTATGGCTGCATTCCATTTAGGTGTGTTTGCTAATGCTGCCTTGTTGATTATATCAGGCACACCTGTACTTTTCCTGCTATGAAAGCCCAAATGCTCATAAGCAGATCATTTTGTTCAGTATACTATAAGAAATGGTGCTTTGTACTAGCAGGAAATTATACTAAGTATGTGTTGTTGGACATCAGTTGATATCAAGCTAGTGCTAATTTCAAATAAAAACCTCACAAAAAAGCTACTCAAGTGTTTCTTTTTTCGTGGATATATTTCTCTGTTCCTTTGTTAGCACAACTACTGCTTTTTTAAAATACATTTGAGTCAACTCACAACCTTCAATCCTCCCACTCAATGTTTGATGCAACATTTTTGTTTTTGTAAAAATTACTCTTTTCCACTGCACATCCATGACACATTCGAGTACATTTGCCTTATTGTAGTCATTAAAAAGAATCATTTTAAAATATTCTATGAGAAAAGATATTTTTTCTTGCAAAGCAATTTCCCCATGTAGTTCTACAGTATCAAGTCAGATGTTAGCCTGTGAGCTGAAGAGACCACTGAAGCATGAAAGCAAAGTGAAGACTGTGTCAGAAAGCCCACATGCTGAAAGCAATGACACTCATGAGGAGAACCTGTTTGTTATCTATTCTCGCACTACAATTCTACGACTTTCTGCTTGTAAACTGGCTGTATGCCTCAGTGTCATAGAATTCTCAAACAATTGCAGCTTATACAGTATGGAAGTTCAGTGATGCCAATGTTAATCAGTCAAATAGAAATGTATCGAATAGAATATTAGAAAGAT